TTGATGCAAAAAAACAGCACCAGAATGGCAGAAATTTAGTATTTGAAGCTCAAAATTTTCGGGCAGATGACTTCCAAACCCACCATTTCATATGTTTCATATAAGATCATGATTTGGGTTAAAATGATGATTTGGTTTCACACTAGGCACCAATAGTGGTCTCCTGGGTGAAAGTCCTGTGACCCATCCATCAAGCATACCCTCATATGAACACAGACTCTCTCGCTCTTTATACTACGTCAGTTGCTCTAAGCATCTAATAATGGCGCATGATTTGGTGCATTGGTATCAGACGGCATAAGCCACTGACCAAGCATTGATATTTTATGAGTTGGGCTGTCACCAATGAGGCAGGTCTGCCTAGACTGCAGGCAATCTCAGGGCAAAAAGTCCATAAATTATTGCTTATTGCTTGCCTGTTGCTAATTAATTATTGCTTTCAGTGCAGGGTCATAACTAAAGGCGGCTTAGATCTTCTCCCACCTGGACTATGCAGCTGAACAGTCAGAGAAGAATGCCCAGAGATGTTTTACTAACAAATAAACCTGAAAAATAAATTAGGATTATCCCTAGTGGAAATTACACCCTTGTCATTGATGACAACAGAGAAACTTTTAAATATTGTTCTTAACTGCAATCAGGTAAGCAAACAGCCTCTCTGAAAGCATCAAGGTTACTGTTACCTTGTGCAGTTTGAGCTTTCAGAGTAAATGCCTCGAGTCCTGGAGTCTTACTGTCTTTGACATAATGACTTCCTTCTGATTTATAGACAGTAATTTAATAACAAGGCATGCAATATGATCCTTTTCCAAAGACAAAAGAAGTCTCATATTTCACTTATAAATTGAGTTCATTTTGGACATTTTGTTCAAAAAGCTTTCCTTCCACTTTTAAGATGCTGGACACATTGTGCATGCAGTTGGCTTTTTTTTCTGATCTGATGGTCAGTCATCCTTGATTAGTGTTGCTGTTATAGAAAGCTCTATGCATAATGCCTCCCAGTGTGCCATCAGTCATGTTATGACACTCTGCCATAGAGAGAAAGTACAGCTGGTGCACATTTAGCCTAACTTTCCTAAATGCAATGTTGCTCTCACTGCTGATGCCTGACTAAGAGTCTATGTCATTCTAATGCATAAAAAATAAAGTAAAATTCTCAAATTATGAATTTTAACCAGTCAGCTGGAACATTTTTCTCCTAAAATACTGAACCATCTTTTAATCTGACAGTTTCAATAGCTGCCCATTATCTCTTTTTACTTTCATACCAGCAAAGTTTCACTTTAATTGTCTTCCTGGACGTCTCATTTCAGACTAGAGAGTGTCCTGTTTGATATTGTAAATCTCCTCATTGCCTAAAATTTAATGTAAATGACCGTTAGCTAATTTAAAGTTCCACCAAAGCAGGGATTCATAACATTTAAGTGTCTTAATGTGTAATTATCTGAGTTCCAATTAAGCTGATTAGCATAGTAAATCACAAACAGCTTCTCTACAACCTGTCATAGTGTTTCATCCACATATTAAAACAGGTTGATCATGACGACTCTGAATCAAACTACTAGAGTTTATACAGAGGACTGAAACAGACTCAAATCTGCACCTCTTGAAACAGCTAAACAATGACAAAGCAGAATGTGACCCTCCTGCTGCAGATCAGTTTGTCCTCAGCTTGGTTTGTTCTGCACTGAAATTATCCTCCTCTTTATGCAGCAGTGTGCTGGTAGGTGTGGTGAGGCATGTACAGTATAAATGAGTTTGAGGTCTGGAAAGAGCAGGTTGATATGGTGTCGGGCTCAGCAATGAGGACCACAGTCATGAAGCAGAAATAGTTCAGCCAGGTTTCAGCCCTATATGAAATATTAGTCCACGCTGTACAGCACTGAACGACTAATCCATCTTTTGAACTTGTGAAAGAGTATCCTACTGGTTTTACCCCCAAGTGTTGCAGACAGTGTTATTAGTTTTTGAGAAGTGCTTCACTTCACAGTGCCTTATCACTGAGCCCTTTGTGGCAGATTTTTGTGCCGTGCCGCCACACACTAAACCGGAGAGCAGTGCGCCCCTCTTTCTGTTTACCTCTAACTTATGATGCATTTCACTGCCTGCAATATGTTTTTTTCCTCAGGCACGTTTTAAGTCTTAGTTTATGATTTGCTTATGAAAAGAAGCTGTTCAAAGGTCTGCAATGAAACTATGGTTAAATCATCCTGTTTGTTCCCATTAAGACCACAGAACTATAAAACCTATGACATGGAAACCTTTGCCCAATCAGAAAAATTCTGTGATTTGTTTGAAAGGTTGTTGCACACACATCATTCAGTTAGGAGTGATGTTATTATGTTGCCACTAAAGCTGGGGTAGGCAGAAATCTGGGAGAGGGGTACAAAAAAGATGACCACCAGATGACCACAGGCATATGCAGGTGCCTCATCCTTCACACTGTGGACTGCTTTCTTGGGAGGAGAGCATGTAGCAGCTCAGGAGACAGACCTTTGGTCGGCAGCTGTGGCAGCTCGGATTCTTCCAGTGCAAACACCCCAGCACCAGATGTCACTGTGTTTGGGTGGCCAGCGGCAGCACCGGTCTAACCTGTGCAATGGCAGCAACAAAAAGTTTGCTGATCCAGAGGGGAGTCAGGGCTGTCTGGTCCCCCTGGTGCTGAGCTTTGCGCTGGCTGGGTTTCGTTTGCTGCAGCTGTGGACTGGTGGTCAGTCTCTAGAGCTACCCGCTCCAGTGAGGTGGTCTGTAACAGTGGGGAATGAGGCCAAGGAGACACTGTGATTCCAAGCTACATTAGCTAGATCAGTGTGAACTTGGAGCCACAGCTGTGAACCTTTTGCTGCAGTTAGCAGGAGACTAAACCAGCATTATAGCAACATTTTCTGACCATCTCTGAAATGCTTCGCAGATACTGACACCTGTTTTGTTTTGTTTATTGTCAGACTCTCTTCTAGACTTTCTTTTTAATTAAGTCCATCTTCCTTTTTGATTTGCTTTGCAGTGTGGACAGTTTTTGCCAATGCTGAAATAGCAACTTTCTCTGCAGGGTTTTCTACCATTGAATCAGGCATTGCACATGGATCTGCATTTGTAGAACAACCAATAGGAATGCCCTGTCTCTGAAATGACCTGTGATTGGCCAAAGTCCTCCATCACTGGTTAGATTTTCTATAGCCCAAAAACAAAGCCAAGAGGAGGTGCAGAAGTCTAATGTTGTCTCTTGAATTACAATATGCGTTAAGTTTATTATTGGATTTTTACCCAGTGAGGCCAAAATTAAACTGCCTACCCCAGCTTTAATGAACAAAACTGTTTTTCTTTTTATCACTTTTGATTTAAATAACTCTGTTGTTACAAGGACTTCAATTTCTGGCAATTCAGCAAAATGATAAATCACAGAGTGACTTTTTTTTTTAAATCTCTGTTCGTGGCAGCTATGATATGGTTCCAGTTATTGGTTCAGATTATTGGCAGACCATGGTTATGGCAACTCAACAGCATCATTAAAAGGTAACCTAAGTATTTTTCAACCTGGTCACTATTTTCTCATGTTTTTGTGTCTAAGCAACTGTTGGGAACAACAAATTCTGAAACTGGTCCAGTGTTGAGTGAGAGCACTGCAGCCGGCAGCAGCAAAACATGCTGCAATGTAACGACTTAGGGCATGTGTACATCATCAACTTACATCCAAAAAAAAAAACCACATCAAAAAACTGTTGTCTCCATTAGTCACTAAGACACAAAAACATGTGAAATAGGGCCCAGGTTGAAGACAGTTACCCTTTAAAGTTAGACAACACAATCACTTGGACACATGGTAACTATTAATAAAAAGGCAAATGTTAATTGCAGGTCAGTAACGGGACATAACCTCCAGTCTCCTGCATCATAGTCCAACTCACTACAACCTCCACATCCTTAAATTTCTGCCCTGCTGCATAAGCAGCACTCTGCATCACTGAATCTTCATCAGTGAGGGGCAGAATTGTCTAATATGGAAGGTATTCTAAGGGATACTCAGCTGGATTTAAAGGATATTGCTGGTGATATTCTATATTTTTCTTACTGTCAACAAACCCTGTGAAGCTACCCAAACCAACAATAAATATGTCCTGGGGATTTGTTGAGGAAAAATATAGAATCACAGCTTTATCCTTTAGAATTGTTTTGGTGTGCTACTAACAGGAAAACAATTGCACTGTTTCACTGTTAAAGTTGAATGCCGTGTAATGCATTCAGTGTTCATCCTGAGGCTATAGTGATATACATAATGTCATATAAGCATGCACCATCATTGCTCTGATCTCACCTTCCTGTCACAGTAGCACTTAAGTTGTCACCCTGTGTTGTCACCTAGCCTATCTCTAAGTTTGTTTGCTCGCACCTTCTGATTCTCAAAATAAATGAAAAATAATACTGTCATAACCAAAGTGAAGTGGGTAGCTGCTCCTTTCTTTAATAGACCTCTTATATTAGGTCAAAGGAGGAATCGAGATAAATCTGAAGCATGGTAATGAAGTGATTTTCAGCACACAGATTACTAAAATTCTGGGGACTTTGGAGGTGAAAGCACTAAATCTGCACCGTCAGTTTATAGTCTAATTTCTGTAAAATGATGAGCTATAAATAAAGCAAATAAAGATTCTGGAGTTATTTAGATGTATGAGACAGATTTAGGGTGGTCGGCAGAGGAGAAATGAACATTTTCCCTGCCTGTTAGCCTCTTTATGACTCTTCATCAGACTTTATTGATCCCAATGGTGAAATCAGTTCGTTGCAGCAGCAGCAAATGTAATGGGATTCAACATAACCAAAAATGCCAAAAGTAATAATTATAATATGGAGAAGAAAGCACATTAGTCGTTCCTCAGCATCGCTGTCAAAACGGTGACTTTTTGATCACGTGGTACACAATACAACCGTGCACGTGCGCGTGCGTCAGCGGCGGATAAGAGAGGTGAAGCATCGAAAGAGGTGTCAGGCTGCTCACCATGTCAGGCTGTCAGCTGCTCTGTCTCTGCGCCTCAGACCCGGCAAATATCCGTCTCTCATGTTTCTCATTCGAGTCTCACTAAGCGGACCATGCGGCTGTTCACCGTCTCAACTTTGCTCCTGTTCTTCTTCACCTCAGGTACGGACACAGCTTTTCTTTCAAAACACTTAATGGGATTCCTTAAAACGCTACTTTTAGGGTGTCGTTTGACACCAAAACTTCCAAACGCGTATTTTTGCAGAAGGTGCGCGCACACAGCTTGGAGCGATCCGCGCGGAACAGACGTTGTCTTTCTTTATAGTTCAGCAGATTTCTGATTCTGGCTAGTCATTATGAGTAAAAGCTTGAATTTGAACGCATTAAGTTTAAAGTATCTAGTGCTACATAATTACTATTGACACCCATAAGACATGACAGTCTCGTAAACCTCGCTGGGACACGCGTCCCTGTGCGTCTGAAACGATACAGGGAAGTTTTCATAAAGACTCTTGATTAACAGTGAAGGAACCATTTCGACTCCACTTGGACACTGAAACGTTTCCCTGAATCTGACCTCTTATTTATCTCCTATAATGTTCCGCAGTAATCGCAGTGGCAGACCAAAGAGAAGCTTTTTCTCTCTGTCAAGTCGCTGATGGCATTTATTTTATCAGTTTGGGGCAGTGGTGGAAGGCGCTCCTTTACTGGAGAGGAAGTACCACTTCAACTAGCCTATGTTAAAATACTCCGTTACAGATAGAAGTACATGAGTAAAATCACGGTATTTTAGTGAAGGAGTTGATGTAACAAGATAACGTGAATACTCAGTAAGGAATAAATACCTCACAACTGCACTTACTAATAAAAGGCAAAGTGTTACAGATGTTGAGCAATGGTAAAATAAGAAGATGGGTCATTTTGTGCATAAAATCTCATCCTCTTTTCTTTTTCGATGCCACCAATATGTGCAATTCTGCAACAAATGCAACATCCATTCTCATTTGATGATGTGATCTGATGTATGACTCTCAAAATGGTTGTAGAATTGACCCTTATTAAATGTGCACAATTATCAGCTTTAAAAATATTGAAAGATGCTTGGACCTGGTCATTTGGAACACAGATAATGTCTGTACTGTATATACTGTGCATGCTGTAACTGAAATATGTAAAGAGCTAAAAGCCTAAATGTCTCAATGTGGTCAGAACAAAATGTGTATTCACAACATAAGGGCATTCCTATTGGTTAATGGAAAACTGTTTACTGTTCTGAATAATTCGTATTTTGATGGACATTCAATAAAGTAAGTTTACTTTCATCAAATTCGTTTTACAGCACAAATAGTGAAATATCAACTTTCAAAGTAAGATGTGATGAAATGTTGCAGCAGCATGCTGCAAAAATAAATGTCCCGCCAGTAACCCAAATGCAGCTGAATAATTGAGCATGTCTGTCACATCAATTTGAGATGGTCAGAGTGTAAGAAACCAAAAGTCAGAATATTCACCAAACTGAAACTGAATTTCACTTTAGGAAATGAAATTCAATAATTTTTTACTCATGTTACAAGAGAAAATAAATGGAGTATGTAAATGAAAAGTGAGCAAGTGTGATGGTGGAGGACATTTAACCTGGTGAAAATGATATCACACAAATAGATGTAATAATTTACTTTGGGGTGTGTGTGTGTGTGTGTGTGTGTGTGTGTGTGTGTGTGTGTGTGCCGCAGGGCTTGCACTGCAGATTCAGTGCTACCAGTGTGAGGAGATGACACACGACTGCTCCACGCCAGAGTTCATCGTCAATTGTACGGTGAACGTGCAGGACATGTGCCAGAAGGAGGTTCTGGTGAAGGATGATGGTGAGTCACGTCTCTGGAAAGCTTAGTCCTCCTCTCTGCTGTCATAAATGTGTGTCTCATCTGTGCTTATCTCTCTGTCAGGATATCTTAGAGCAGAACAGACTCAGTAGAATCTGGACAGATTGGCCTCAATCCAAGAAAAGATGATTAGATTTTGGTGGTGATATTGATCTGGGATTTCAACCTTGAATCGAGGGACTTGATTCAGAATCTGAAGACCACTCTTTGTTTATTTTTGGCATGAAATCAATATAGCTTAAAAAAGAAAGTAATAGCAGTGATGTCTGTGTGCGGAAAACTATTGAGTGTTGCACTCTCCAAGCACCATCTAGTTGTTCATGAGCAGGATTAGTTTGTTTGTAGTGAGCACTTTCATCCTTGGGGTGCACTGTGCACTGTAGTGCTCAGACAGTTATATATTCAGAATCAATGGAAATATTGTCATGTTGAAAAGAAGAATGTTTGAAAATGACACCAAGCAAACAGTTTGCATGGCTGGCATGTTTGAAGTATCCTTTAATGCAAAGACAACACAAAGTATGAGAGCTCTCCAACATACTCAGACAGAGGCCAGGCTCTCTGCTGTGAGCAGAAATCAAACCGATCTGAGGTCAGCAGGGACAAGCGCTTCAGTGCTCTCTAAGTATCATTATAGGATGAAAGTCTTAGCTGCAGGTCAGTATTTGAAGTGGTAGTCATGGATATAAACTATTCTATTTCCATCTGAGGAGAAAATCTATCAGCTCATGCTGTGCACACAATGGAAGCTATGAGTCCTTTTTGTGTGTTCAGGCCTTCATCGAACAAGAAATTACAATACAGTAATGGAAAAGATAAGTTTGATAGCATTCAAAAATAGTGTCACCATTACCATTATCAGCTACCACCATATATATAAATATCTCTATATCTCTCTATATGTATATTTATGTACAGTACAGGCCAAAAGTTTGGACACATCTTCTCATTCAATGCGTTTTCTTTATTTTCATGACTATTTACATTGTAGATTCTCACTGAAGGCATCAAAACTATGAATGAACACATGTGGAGTTATGTACTTAACAAAAAAAGGTGAAATAACTGAAAACATGTTTTATATTCTAGTTTCTTCAAAATAGCCACCCTTTGCTCTGATTACTGCTTTGCAAACTCTTGGCATTCTCTCGATGAGCTTCAAGAGGTAGTCACCTGAAATGGTTTTCCAACAGTCTTGAAGGAGTTCCCAGAGGTGTTTAGCACTTGTTGGCCCCTTTGCCTTCACTCTGCGGTCCAGCTCACCCCAAACCATCTCGATTGGGTTCAGGTCCGGTGACTGTGGAGGCCAGGTCATCTGCCGCAGCACTCCATCACTCTCCTTCTTGGTCAAATAGCCCTTACACAGCCTGGAGGTGTGTTTGGGGTCATTGTCCTGTTGAAAAATAAATGATCGTCCAACTAAACGCAAACCGGATGGGATGGCATGTCGCTGCAGGATGCTGTGGTAGCCATGCTGGTTCAGTGTGCCTTCAATTTTGAATAAATCCCCAACAGTGTCACCAGCAAAACACCCCCACACCATCACACCTCCTCCTCCATGCTTCACAGTGGGAACCAGGCATGTGGAATCCATCCGTTCACCTTTTCTGCGTCTCACAAAGACACGGCGGTTGGAACCAAAGATCTCAAATTTGGACTCATCAGACCAAAGCACAGATTTCCACTGGTCTAATGTCCATTCCTTGCGTTTCTTGGCCCAAACAAATCTCTTCTGCTTATTGCCTCTCCTTAGCAGTGGTTTCCTAGCAGCTATTTGACCATGAAGGCCTGATTCGCGCAGTCTCCTCTTAACAGTTGTTCTAGAGATGGGTCTGCTGCTAGAACTCTGTGTGGCATTCATCTGGTCTCTGATCTGAGCTGCTGTTAACTTGCGATTTCTGAGGCTGGTGACTCGGATGAACTTATCCTCAGAAGCAGAGGTGACTCTTGGTCTTCCTTTCCTGGGTTGGTCCTCATGTGTGCCAGTTTCGTTGTAGCGCTTGATGGTTTTTGCGACTCCACTTGGGGACACATTTAAAGTTTTTGCAATTTTCCAGACTGACTGACCTTCATTTCTTAAAGTAATGATGGCCACTCGTTTTTCTTTAGTTAGCTGATTGGTTCTTGCCATAATATGAATTTTAACAGTTGTCCAATAAGGCTGTCGGCTGTGTATTAACCTGACTTCTGCACAACACAACTGATGGTCCCAACCCCATTGATAAAGCAAGAAATTCCACTAATTAACCCTGATAAGGCACACCTGTGAAGTGGAAACCATTTCAGGTGACTACCTCTTGAAGCTCATGGAGAGAATGCCAAGAGTGTGCAAAGCAGTAATCAGAGCAAAGGGTGGCTATTTTGAAGAAACTAGAATATAAAACATGTTTTCAGTTATTTCACCTTTTTTGTTAAGTACATAACTCCACATGTGTTCATTCATAGTTTTGATGCCTTCAGTGAGAATCTACAATGTAAATAGTCATGAAAATAAAGAAAACGCATTGAATGAGAAGGTGTGTCCAAACTTTTGGCCTGTACTGTATATGTATGTATATATTTATATTTACATATATACGTGTGTGTGTGTGTGTGTGTGTGTGTGAGAGAGAGAGAGAGAGAGAGAGAGAGAAAGAGAGAGAGTGAGAGAGAGACTATGTTTAATATGAAATGGGTCACTTGTAGTGATGACAAAGCCACACATATTAGCATCTTTTCAGCAAACTGCTTTGGTTTTACAGTCTGCAACTTTACTTTTTTGGTTCACTCTCAACACTCTCATCAACTCAAATTTAGAAAAAAAAATCACAGCTCACAGAGCTGAAAGAAAAGTGAATGATGGACATACCTTTATTTGGTTGCTAGAAACATGAACAAATGAATACTAAGGTTGCTCTGTGTCTGCTGGATGTGTAAAAAGGCAATTGTGTGATAGCAAGTTAATCTTAAAGAAATGATAACAGAACATTTTGACCTGTTGGTCAATAATCAGTAGATCAGTAGTAACTATCCTCGGGGCACCATGACTGTATAATAGAGTAGCAGAATAGAATAGAAAAGTGTAGAATATTAGAGTAGAATCGAATAGAATACTTTACTGTCACTGCACAAATGTACAACAAAATTTCAGTGCATCTCCTCTCGGTGGTAGAAGGTAAGAAACAACAGATAAAAGTAAAAAAAAATACCTGCAGATATGTACGTGGAACAACAGTAATAAATAGTAAATTGCCCTTTGTCTTGATTATTTCACTCTACCCAATATTATAATCACAGTCCTAGTGTTTAACAGAGTTCAGTTCCTTGATGGCACATGAGTAGAAGCTGTTAAGAAATCTGGTAGTGTGGGTCTTAATAGACCTACACTGCCTTCCAGAGGGCAGCAGGGTGGAGAGGTGGTGTCCTGGGTGAGATGAGTCTTTGGTAATGCTTGTGGCCAAGCGTAGGCACCAGTCTTTGTATGTCTTTTAGAGAGAGTGCCAGTGATGTTCTGTGCTGATTTTATACATCTCTGAAGTGCTTTCCTGTTGGCCTCAGTGCAGCTAGCAAACCGCATCAGGATGCCATAAGAGTGGATACCTTCTACAGAACAGTGATTGAGGAACACCAGCAGCTGCTGGGACAGGTTCACTAGTGTTCTTAAGAAGTAGAGCCACTGCTGTGATTTCTTCACCAGAGGTATCATGTTCAAAGTCCAAGAGAGGTCCTGGAAGATGTGTGTGCCCAGGAATTTAAAGTCAGTAACTCTCTCCACCATGTCTCCTCTGATGTATAATAGAGCAGGATTTTAGAGTTGGTAAGTACCAGGTTATTGATGGAGCACCGTTCAGTCACCTTGTGGACCTTGTCCCTGTAGGCAGACTTGTCACTGTTGCATACAAGTCCAACCACAGTAGTGTCGTCAGCAAACGTGATGAATGCTTTAGTGCTGTGGGCTGGTGTGCTGTTGTGAGTGTAAAGGGTGTAAAAAGAGTACTCAGAACGCAACCTTGATGGGCTCCAGTGCTGAGTGTCAGGGTCGATGATTTATGGTTCCCCAGCCTGACAGATTGTGGTCAGTTTGTTAGAAAGTCCTTGATCCACCTTTATGTGCGCTGACTAACACCTCTGCTGGGGATGAGTGTATTAAACACAGAACTGAAGTCCAAAAACAACATCCTCACATATGAGCCAGGTGTTTCAGGTGAGTCAGTGCAGTGTGGAGAGGGCTGTGTTAATGGCATCTTCTGTTGACCCACTAGCCTCAACACTGGTTGAGGCTAGTGGGTCAACAGAAGATGCCATTAACACAGCCCTCTGTTGACCCACTAGCCTCAACCAGTGTTGGTCCAGTGTGGGTGGAAGAGAGGATCTGATGTGTTTTTGGACCAGCCTCTCAAAGCATTACATCACAGCGGAGATGAGAGCCACAGGTCTGTAGTCATCAAGGGTGCTGATAGTTGTCTTCTTAGGGACAGGCACTATGGTGGCAGACTTGGAGCATTTGGGGACAGTGCATGTTGACAGGGAAAGAGTGAAGATGTTGCTGATTACCTCTGCCAGCTGATCTGCACAGTCACAAAGTATCCTCCCTGGAATGCCATCTGGGCTAGCAGCCTTACTGAGGTCGACACCACAGCACAAACAGGCAAAAAAGTGGTTGAGTTTCTCAGCTAGCACATCACTGCTGCTGCTGCCGCTGCAGCTACCGCTGCAGCTGTTTGGGTCTTTGCTTCTTTTGTAGTTTGTGAGGTGCTGGCTACCTTGCCAAACATACTTGGGGCTCCCCTCACCAAAATGACCTTCGATCTCCTTCCCATAGGCTGTTTTTGCCTCTTTGATGCCTCTCTTTAGTTTGGATCTGGCAGCACACTAGAGTTCATCACTGACAGATCTAAAGGCTGCATTATGGTCCCTCAGCAGCAGCTGAACATCCAAAGTCATCCATGGTTTGTTGTTTGCAGGGTTCCTTCGCAAGTATGGAAAGTATGGAAAAGTATGGA